GCAAACAGAAAATGTGCTAAAGTACGGCTGAGTAATGGTAAAGAGGTGATTGCTTTTATTCCGGGTGAAGGACATACATTACAAGAGCATAATATCGTTCTAGTGGAGGGTGGGAGAACACAGGATTTGCCCGGAGTTAAGCATACAATAGTCCGAGGAAAGTATGACTGTGGACATGTAATAAAGAAGAAAAAATAGGGTTTAAAGTTTAAAAATTCATAAATTTTTACAGATTTTAAAAATTCATGACCAGAGGTCTAAAATGCGGGGCACTCAGTGTGTCATACGACGACTCCAACTCCGTTCCCTGTGAGTGCTAGGCAACGCGACACCCACTGTCTGCTGATAAATTTCAATTAATTGCCCAGTGAAAATGGGGATAACAACAACATAGCATAAAGGAAAGTCAGTTAATTCGAGCGAATGCCAGTTCGATAGGATGCCAGTACGAGCGCATGCCAGTTGAAGCACATGCATTTAGTGCAAAACTATAACAAGGGCGAATTTAATGTCACCCTATTCTTGTATTTGTGAGTGAAATTGTATTTTGGTACTTTTGATAATTATTTCATGTTTAAATTTCCCCATCATAGAATTGTAATTGTAAAAGCTTGAGTCTCGGCTCAAAATAGGAAATCTTAATGTAATTCGTACATAACTTGCACAGGCTGTTGTTCGCATAAGTGGATCATTTTCTGCTCGAACTAGCATCCGGTCGAAGTAATTTCTGCTCGAACTTGCATTCGCTCGAATTGACTGGTTCACATGTACAGATATATGAGGGTTTGTTTAGTTCAATAAAATAGATTTTTAAAATGTTGACATTTCACCATGTTTTGGCCATTTTCTCAGTAACATGATTTGCGATGAGTGACTGGTTTGGCTTGTCTTTGTGATAATTATCCATTGTGTGCGCATGGTGGTGTTGCGTTCTCCTTTAAGTTGCATCGGTCAACAACCGTCAGGAGCAGTGGGTGCCCAGTTTTAGAGTGTAAAGAGAGAGATGTGATAGTGACTCGCGTTCTGAATTTCGTGCTGACTGTCAAGAATAACCTGTGGGCATGTCCCATTCACCAGCAGCTTTAGAGTGATTTGTCTGCATCGTGTCTTCTGTGGTATTTAAATTTTCAGTCGTGTATATATAACTGGTACCTGCCTTAATGTTAGCATTGTAGGACAGGATTTTACCAAGTTCTAACAGCTATATATATTCTGCCGTTAATTTTATTTTATTCTGCATTTGACAACTGGAACTTGAAGCCAACCATAAATACAATGCAATATTTACAATACTGTACAAGATGATGATAAGTACAATAGAAAATAAATGAGTACCAGTAGCAGGTATTGTAAGAACATAAATAATTTTGAAGCCCACAGTAGTCGTGTATGTAGGCATATAAACATAGGTGTGGGGGTGGCAGTAGCGAGTGAGACAGCTAGGCACAGGCCCAGCTATTGGGACGCTGTCAGGGGGTTGTAAAATCTAATGGGGATTATTAGATATTATTCCTAAGCCACAGACAGCTGACTTAAGAGTGCCATTTTCAGGCACCTACAGGTGACATACCCATTTTTTTTATCGCCTCAACCATGTTGGGACTGAGGTGGTCTTGGCCCATCTGTTGGGGAAATTCTGACCCCACTGCTGCATGAGGGAAAGTGAGGTTGGGGGTTGGGTTGCAGTGGTGGCGGCAGGGATGTATTTGCCACCCCGTCAGACAGGCCTGGACCCCTTGTCCGACACAACAGCTAGGATGTTGGATCAAAAATAAAAATAATAATAATTTGTGAATCCAAATAATTTTATTTTGATTGCTAATCCCTAATACTGTGGTCTAAAAGCACAATTTGGACCATAATAAACCATAAAAACTCTACCCGTGAACCCTACGAGGAATTTTTTTTATTCTGGCCCGACTGAGAGACCCATGGTTTGGATGATTCCGTCAGACAACTTTATGCAGATTCCATAAGTAAATCTAAAAATGGAGAAGGGCTTTAAAAAAAAAAATTAGGAATTATAATAATATTCAATGACCACCCATAATACACTGTGTTGCTGATTAGATGAGAAGGGAAATCCCCTTTACCTCATACCTTCTCAGTAAATTCCATTAAAGATGACAGAATAAATTCAGAATTGTCAAATGTATTACTACTGTTTCTTGATTCTTTTTTACCCCTCAAAATTCTTTTACATAGACCTACTGTACATCCCTTTGGGACAAAGGTATAACATTTTCATAATATAGTCACTGAATATTTGTCGTTTACAAACTTGACCCTGTAACTTAATTCATGCAAAAATGTATCCAAAGATAATTATTTTCAGATATACCTAGAGTAGTTGTTAAAGTGGCCCTCGCAAAGACGTTCTGGGTTTATCGGTTCATGGGAGGCTTCAAATGGGT